TGTGTGTGTGTGTGTGTGTGTGTGTGTGTGTGTGTGTAGGTGTGTCTATGTGTGTCTGTGTGCGCGAGAACCTGACCACTGGAACTCGCCAAAGAAACTATGTAAAAGTGGAGAGTTGTGAAACTAAATGTAGAGCAGACCAAGTCTGCGATAAGGATAACCCCTAAAGCGTGTGAACAGTCACTGCGGTTCAAACTACAGTTACTGTAGTGCCACCAGCACGTTGTGAACAATCACTGCCGTCCATTCTTCATCCCGCCTTCGGATCGTTCACAGAAGTGAACGGTGTACAGTGTACACTGTTCAGACTTGAGAATAGAACAGAGAAGAACGAGTTCCTCCTATCAACACACTCGTCATTCATTAGCTGTCAAACAAAACGGATCGGGCAAGCTATACATATGACCGACCAGACCGAACGATTTGTAGGTAAGCTCAGTGAACTGGACTCAGTGGAACTACTGGGCGACCTGGAGTACAACCACGATTATGAAACCTAGGGGGGGAAAAGGACTTCCGTGCAGAGCTAGAGCAAACTTGAAACAGGTGGAATTCGCTTGGAAAAAAAAAAAAAAAAAAAAAAAAAAAAAGCTTGAAACCGATGGAACTAGCGTGGAACCAGCGGGACTACCTAGTGTCAGACTGGAGGGGCTTAAGTAAAAGCAAAGTGTGAACCCAGGGAAATCAATGGAACTACAAAAATATAAAGTAAAAATAATGATAAGAAGAAATCAAACTAGTGAAACTTGTTCTAGTGGAAAGCCAGCGAAATTCGTGGAACTAATCTTCTGAAACCACTGGAACGGCTGGGACAAGTGGAAATAGTGTAAAAGAACATGAAAACTTATAGTCCCAAATTCAATTTCATGGGACTAGGAAAGCAGCGAATTTCCCCTACGACAGTGGACGTAAGGCATGTGATAGAAAATAGAAATGTACGTTCTGGAGCTTTTTCAAAAAAAGAAAAATATAAAATTTGAAAAAAAAAATTGAAAAATATTAAAAATTATTGACCTTTTTGTTCCTAATCAAGGATACCACACCTTCACTGAAGTAAAACCGACCATCATTTCGACAAGCACACGTAATGCTGCGCCTAGTTTGCAGAAAAATTATTTAAAAAAAACACAGTTTTTACTTGGCTCGAGAAACTGCTAGAAGAGTTTCTAGTACTTTCTACTACTTTCTAATGGCAAAGGTACCACACGGGGCACTCCCTCGAGAAGCTCTGCAGCATTACTCAGAATTTAATTTTACAGTTTTTAGACTTACAATTTGTTGCCAATTATAGCATCAAACCCTCTTAAATTCCCCAGATATAACACAATATACCTACCTTTATCATCATTAGAATTTACACCCAAAAAAAAAAAAAAAAACCTCGATGCGATCACGACTTCAAGCCTACCGTCCTCTTCTTCTTCATCATCATCATCATCATCATCATCATCATCTTCATCTTCATTTTCTCTTCAATTTCATATTTCTCATCATCAGCGCGATTCAGCATTCATTTTGCCGACTAGGCTGAATTTTTCTGCTGCCTCCCAGCCTTCCCCTTCTGCCGTGCTATTCTTTCAAAAGTTATAAAGCCTTTGCAGATGATCCTCGAACCATCGTCTTACGACTCTTACCCTTGATGACCCTTGATGAAGTCCAATACCAAATTTTCCAACACAGAGTTGTGTCGCCGCGTGAGAGCCTTAGCGTTGGCGACTACGATGACAGGACATACCTTTACAATCACGTGAATGACGTCATCACTAAAGTAAGAACACCACTCTAAACAACCCACTTGTACGCACTCGTAGTTTTCCGGAGTCACACAAGCAGTCACTCTGTTCTGCTGCCTCTGGACTGAGGGTCACTCTGTTCTCCTGCCTCTGGACTGAGGGTCACTCTGTTCTGCTGCCTCTGGACTGAGGGTCACTCTGTTCTGCTGCCTCTGGACTGAGGGTCACTCTGTTC